TGATTGACACATTTAAATTCTTCCACCCTGAACAGGACCACTGCTGGAAGAGTAATAAAGTCTGCCAGTTGCCTCGACTGCAATAGCAAACAAAGACCTGAACCTAGAAGCTAGTCTCTTACTATCACTGTGAGGAGACGCTAACAGGGCACAGAAGGTGGCATATATTAATGGAGTTTTCTCACAAAAGAACCTAAAGGGTTTGATTTGTTTGGATGGAAAGAGAAGACAAGTAAGTGATACTGAAGAAAAGCCTGTTTGTCCTTAACATATTTGACAAACTGTTCTTGAACAATTTCTCCATTTGGCAATTACACTGCCAGTACAGGGGGAAACCTGGTGATCTCTGATACTCTAGCCCAGATCCTTCCAACCAGGCATGCTGTGCTTGATGCAAGTCAGGGGTTGGGATGGGTATGCCAATATGATGTTAAGCCATCTCTGGGGGTCTTTGATTCTGGAGCTTTGACCCAATCCCCAGACTTTAGGCTGCTCTATTTTACATCAGTTGCCAACAGCCCACAGGGTCTGTTCTAGCAGCTAGTGATCAGCCAAGATGATCCTGAGCCTATGTGCCTCCTTCACTGTGGGGTAGGAAGGTGAGTGGTTTAGGTACCACTGTGGCAGCCTTGGAGCATTGGTGAATTCAAGTATACAGTTAAGCCAGGTTTAAATCTGCTTTGTTCCACTGGAGCCCCTCAAAGCAGAGTAATGGGCTGGAGAGTCTGATGCTATAAACTAGAGATGCAGAACACAGACCTAATGTATAAAACTCTGGAGCCTTTAAATTTATGTGCCCTTGTTTTCTTAAGACAGAATTGTTTAATTTTTATTCAAGGAAAGAAGACTTGAAACTTATCCATCTAGCCCAGAATTTCTATGCATTTCTACTAACCACACATGGTGAGAATTGTGATTAAAGGCTCGGTTTGCTGTCTCCATACTTTGCTTGCTCACATCTGAGCATATGCATCCAAATTGCATGCATACACATTTGGTTGAAAGCTCACCTACAGCATCTAGCCATGTATGCACAAGGGTGCAAATGCACACTTACTCAAAGGCTGGAAATCAGACACATGATGCTGGTAAAGGGTTTTGAAGGACAGGACTATACAAGTGCTAAATAATATAATTTTGGACAGCCTGGCACAATGCTAAAGACACTCATTCAAAGAGCAGAAAATCTGAGATATGCTGAACATAAGCTAGGGCAGAACAACACTCCAATGTATAAGACTCGTCTTTTCAACAGAACTTCCCTAGTTACATGATCTTTTTTAATAATGAAAATTGTAGTGATGGATGTAATTATAGATTTGGTTAAATCAGTCTTTCAGTTCTTCAAACAAAGTTATGGTTACTGCACATACTTGTTCTTCTTTGTGAAAATGTCCTGTTAGCCTCACCACAGCTTAGTCAGTGTAGGAGATTCATCTGCTATGAGAGTTTTCCTGAACTGAACTGAGTTTACAATATATGGATAACCTCTTTCCACAAAGAGTTAGTATTTACTACTTTTTTTGGGGTACTTTTGATGTAGTAGAGGTGTATATTTATACAGGTACCTAGACTCTGGTCTATTCATATTCAGTTCACATCAGGGAGGCTATGCAGTTTAAGTACAGTTCCTGAAGATGTGTGTGTGTCATACTACAGTACGCACACTGTACTCTTGTCAAAAGTTACATTAGTTTTAGTGGGCATTTTACAGTATAAATAGAACAAGTTCTTTTTTGCAACATTTTAAAAAGCTGCCATAATTTGTATTCATCATTATCAAGTTCTAAATCTCCTTAACATAAAATATAAAGTGAGTTACATGTGTACCAGTAATATTTACATTTGAAAAAACATTTTTGTTTGGATTACAATTTTTGAAGCTTGGTTTTGCAAATTATGTATTGTGTATTTCATAAACTGATTCGAAGAACTTCTCTTTTCTTGTAGGTTTTTATTTTTAAATTAATTGCCCTATATTCAGTTCCTATTTCAAATAGATGTTGGTTGTATAGTCAATACAGTCATATTTCCAATCAGGGGAAAAATCAAACCAGATTGGCAAATATCCTATTTAGGAATACTGTCATGTTCACTTTTAAATGTTTGGAGGATGTATGAATTTTGATAACTTAATTGTATTTTAATCTCTACCCTGTTACATTTTATTTTTTGTGAACATGCACAAACCAACAAAAGTTGATTATCTTTAACATACATCTCAATTTATTAATCTAGGACTATGCTCAGAGTGTCAATATTTCCAGGTTTCCTTATTTGCTCTCAGTAAATTTTAAAAGAAAGGTGCACTTAAAAATAAAAAGTACTAAAAGTTCAGCTGCTAATAAGCACTTATCAATATGTATGATCTGGGACATGTACATGAAAATAATGTTTTTATTTTTGATTCACATTTTTGAGCCTGTTGCTGGCAACTTTTGGGACACTAATGATATGGGGAATGAATTTAGAGGCTGAAAATTAGCATTATTCAGTATTACACATATTTCTATAATACCCAACATCATAATTAATGGATACTCCTGTAGTTCTCTGTGTACCTCAACATTAGAACAACTTTAATGTTTAATTTTGAACAGATATTTCATTTTCACACAGCACAATTCTTACATTAAAACAGGACAGAAACTACCTTTCTACCATTTCAGCTGACAAGCCATTAATGTCACAAATGACATCGCTATGTTTGCCAGCAGTAGGCTAAGACATGCCAATTTTACCTCAAAAATAATTTTCAGTTGCATTTCACACAGTAATGGGTCTGTGTCACAAAATGTAAATTGCATTTGGATCCCAACTTTGTCTAGAGCTCGGGGTGTTTGGATCAAGGGCTTGGTTCAGGCCCATCTTTAATTTTGCAGTTCATCCAAGATGAAACATGTTCCTCACTCAGTGACTTTTCAAGTATAAGAGCAAGATGTAGACACCTGGTTTATCACAGCAGATGAAGATTTGTGAAATTAATATTCTATCACACTCTACGATGACAGAACTCAAGAGAACTGTGAAGACAAACATAACGTCCTTTTTCTACTGAAGACTGGCTCACCTATTAGGCTGCACATTGTTAAATCTGCAGTTTCATGAAGTTTTCTTTAAAATAAATAGTTTCCTATCCAAAAGAAAAATTTGTCATCTTAGAACCACACAGAATCTTGATTGACATTCTGCTCTCCTTACATGCATGAAACTCAGTTCCACAAGCACAAAGTAGTATAGTGGAATTGAAATTGACTATGCCAATCTCAGAAGAAACATATAGGGCAAAATTGTTAGCCACAGACTCCAATTTTATGCATACAACTATTTTCCCCAATTACAGCTATTTTCTTATGCAAATGAGAAAACTGGGTATAAGATTTGCATGTACAAATGTGTACATTGTGCATGCAAAATAGACAATGGACAGTTAGCTGCCAAACTAACTGTTAACCCCATTTTCATGTTTCCCTTTATAATATTTTAATTTAGCTCACATTACAGCTCAGTGTAAAAAAATGCTAGATTACCAAAACAAATAAATAAATAAATATATAAAATAAATAAAACCACAGACCTGACAAGTCATGTGACAAATATACAGTGGGAGCACTTTAAAATTTTTTACTGGTTCTACTGGTCTGGTCTATTATAGACACAGGAGTTAGCTCTCTCAGTTCAAAATATTTGAAATATAGCCATTTTAACTACTCAGTCTTTGCACAACACAAAATCGTCCAGTTGACAAGATAAAAGACAGTGAGTTATGAGACCTGGGTTCTATTTCTGACTCTGCCATTGACTCAACTCTGTCACCTTGGGCAGGACTTAAGTTTTCAGTGCCTCAATTTCTCCATGTGTAAAACAGAGCTAAATCCTTCTTCACTTGTATAAAGCACTTTATGATCTATGGATAAAAAGTGCTGTATCGGGGCTACATAGTAGGGTTATATTGCATTCTTTCTCCAGTTATCTTTGTGGGGGTTTTGTTTGCTTGCTTAGGCTCTTAATTATTGAGACAAGGAACTTTTCTTACATGTCTGTGAAGCATCTTACATAGGGTGCTCCAAAATTCCCCAACAAACAGCATTGCAAAAATGGAGGCGGTTGCTGAAAATGTGCTCTTTAATACAATTACTATTTGTGGACATACAGACTCCTGTAGGCTCAGAGTCATCACTGAATGTCTTAAACTGCCTGCTTATTTAATAATCTATACATTTGTGAAGTGTCAGAATATTGAGAAGAAACAAGAGTCCATAAAAGTAGAAGACAGTGTTTGGAAAAGTTGCATTATTTGTTATGAAGTTTGAAATAAGTATTTTAAGAAGTATGGACATTGGGTTTTAGTATTTTGGTTGATTGGGGTTTTTGGGGGGGAAGAGGGGAAAATATGTTATAACCTCAGCATTTATTAAAATATTCTTTTGGAGTTAAACCAGCTAAACAATTGAAGATAGACCTTTTATTTAGCACTATTATAAGACATACTAAGGACTGAAGAAAAAGTAAATCAGTTTGCAGGTTCTACTTAACTCTCTTTTTTTCATGAGGCACCCCCTTTTTAACAGCTACCAGTATTGTATTTAAATCGTATATATATTGACAAAATGTAATCTACCTCTGTAAGCATTGTGCCATTCAACAGTACTACTATTAAATTTGTATACCACAGTTTAAATTACATCCATTTCATGAATGGTAAAATTCTAAAACTCAAGTGTCTAACTGCCAAAATACAGCCTTACTGGAATGAGTACAATTTACAAATACAATAATTACATTTTAAAACCATTAACAATGTTACATCTAGAAGTAAATACTGTAGGACTGGTCAAGACGGTGTCTTCTCAGGAAAAAATGCTGAAAGTTGCTGACACTTCCAACAGAAGTGCCCCAAGTGCAGGATTTAGTTCATTTCCCTTAAACCGTAATTCAAACCCGTTCCACACAGCAGTCCTTGGTTATATGGATTTTCCATATACTTGCATAAGCTTCCGTTAGTTATCAGCCAAGTATTTTCCTATAAATAGAATATGTTAAAACAGCAGGTTACTGAGCATATGATTTCCCCCATCTATTTTGTAACTAGATCCATAGCAAAGTTAAACAGTGATACTTGATCTCACCCTGGTTCCACAGTGCCGTAGTCCTGGTTTTACACTGATCACAGCAAAATCACACCCTGATGGTGTTTTTTGAATATGCATCTGTCTCACCCATTTACCAAATGCCACATTTCACAATCAGGTGCTCATTCTCCCTGTCCTAGAGGAACCGAGGCCCTGCAACCCCAGATGCAGGAAGTCCACTGACAGCAGGGGTCCAGTGGCACATTACCTTCCCCCTCCACTCCAACTAGGGCCGGCTCCAGGCACCAGCCGACCAAGCACGTGCTTGGGGCGGCACCTTGGGGTGGGGTGGCGCTCCGGTTTTTATTTAATTTTTTTGTGGTTCGGTGGCGCGGTGCTCGGGGGGGCGGGGATTTCGGCAGGGTGGCGTTCTTCTTTTTTGCCTGGGGAGGCAAAAAAGTTAGAGCCGGCCCTGACTCCAACAAGGGGCCTGAACCCAGACAATATTATTCACAAACATGAAAGAAGTGGAGTTGGGCCAGCCTGGCTGGGAGCTGTGCTTATTCAATACATGTCCTGTGAAGATTCTGCCAGTGAAACACCTATAGAGCCCTTGATGGCACTTAAAACTGCTGTCCCTGGCGTAAAACCCAGTGGAGACCAGTGGTGATACCACTGCTTGCCTCTCTTAGGGATGAACCCTCCCCTTGTGCCTGCGAGAGTGAATCAAAACATTAGGCCAGAGTTTACTTTTACTAGGTGTAGGTAACAATAGCGAAAACTACTCAATCATTGTTTTTTAATATGTACATGCATGAAGGTCAAGTCTGCTCCCTGGATGGATAGACATGGACATACATACATACATACATGCACATAGAGGCGTGCACAAGAAGGGGGCAAGCAGGGGCATGGCCCCCAATAATCAATGGGGGCACAGAGCTCCGAGGGCTGTGGTGGGGACACAGAACATGCCCCTCCTAAAGCCATCAAAATTTTTATTTCTGAGCACTCCACTGCACACGTGCTCACACACATGCATCCCCTTCCAATCTTGTCCTTCATGCCTTTGAGAGTCAGTAACATATGTACCAAGAGCAATACAGAGCCCAAACTCAAAGAGCGGAAGAATTTTAGCAGGATATATTAGCAATTTTTCAGAACAATATCTGCCTCTCACTCAGTTGGCAAAGCAGTGATGTCTCTTCAACGTTTAATTTCTAATAGCTTGTGTACAGTTAAATAGACCTTTGGAAGATACAGTAAAACCAGTCTTAAGTAGTCATCCAAAGGGCCAACAAAAATCAATCACTTGGAAGAAGTGAGTAATTAAACCCTGAACAAAATGGTTCTAGAAATCTTCATGAAACTTTAAAGCAGCCTCTTAAGACAAGGGGTCGCTTTTGGGGATGGTTCCAAGTGTAGATTGTACTGTACTTTGTGCATGTGTGAACTCTTGGAAGAATTTTCCATATTCTTGTTGGTTAAGGCACAAAATGTAGTTTTCTGGTAAAACAATAATAGGTATTTTATATAGACACCTTTTATCAGAGCCCTATGTACAGGAGTTATCCCCTCTTCTTAGTACCTTATCTTGCAAACTCTTTCCTCACTGCAGGGATAAATGTATGGCAAGTGGCCAGCATCTGTGACTCTTACTGATACAACCCCCACCCAGTTAAGGGGTTTGTGACATGCTTACCTGCTGCAAATCTCTTTTTAATGAGTGAAAACCGGTATCCTGCTCCAACAAGTTCGATATCACAGCTGGAGAGAGTGCTCCCTTCACTCGTAAACTGCACTACCAATGGCGAAGGTTTGCTTGGTCCTTCAGACAGCTGGAATCTTGCCAGCAAAGAACCCACACCTTCGGATTAAGAATTCCAGAAGATCATTACAAGAGAGTAACACATACACTGCTTCTGGGATGGCTCTTAGCGTGGAATCCAAGTGAATGGAATAGTAAATAACATTCTTTAGTCCAAAAGTGCCTGGAAATAAATCTGGTTCCCCAAGTTATATAAATGGCAGCAAATGTACATTGATAAGAATGTGAGCATTTCATCAAATCATACTTCAGCACACTGTTACCTTTTCAGACTTTAGAGATATAAATTAGATAGCAAATAAACTGCAGGAGTCACACCAAATAGAAAGTACATGCAAGTGTGCTGGATCCCTAGTATGTGCAATATGACATGCTGAAGGGCAGTTGGCCCAAGGCGATACCTTGACAATAGAAAATGTTATGGGGGAAAATAATGGGGATTACTCAAACTTATAGGACCTCCATGGGGCTGAAGACACTCAATTGTAGAAATCAACTGGTTTTTCTTTGAAGAAATTAGAGCCCAAACCATTACACATCTCCCTTTACACTCCTAAAATGGGCAGGAAAATGTGTGACCAAACAGTTACACTGATCTTGTTCATACTTTACATAGCTAATTTGCTCCTGTGCTGTGAACAGTACCCTATAATGTCAAGTTTCATCAGGAATTGATTTGTTGATGGATGTGCACAAAGATAAACTAGTCAACGTCTTTAATTAAAAACAATTAACTGACATCAATTAAAATGTAAACTTGCATTATTACCTCCATTTTCTGATTTTTGCGAGATATCAGGAATCTTCCACAATATTCTTTGCTGTTCAGCATTCCTAAAAAAAAGGAAGAAAATAGTGTAACTGTAGGAGACAATGGAGGTAATGAAGGAGCCCGTCTAAGTCATTTGCATTCTAAAATAGGTAGTGGGAGCAGTGCAAAATTTGTTGAAAATGCTTTCTTCTGGTTCGGAGTCTCATGAGGTTGTACTGCGTTAGTTTTGCTTTAGGTTTGAATGTAAGTGCCATTCTGGCAGTTATCTGTGCTGTCACAGATGGACAGTGTTCGCTGCGGAGTTAATTCAACTAAATGCAAAAAAATATACTAATAAAAAACTAATAGAAGGCAGTGTGGTGAAGTGGATAGGCACCAGACCTGAAAAATTTGAAGTCCTGAGTTCTAGCCCCAACTCTGCCAATGACTTACTCTGTGACCCTGAGCAAATCACAAATTAGATGCAGCAGTTCCCCTATCTGCAGGATATGGACAATAATGCCTACCCATGATTGTAAAGTGCTTTGAGTTCTATGATGAAAAGCACTCTAAGTGCTAAGTATCATTAATATTAAGATTATTGAAGGGACTTTCACCTTAATGCATGCTGGTTAAGATCAGATCATTCATTTGTGAAAATGACAGAAAAAAAATCAGAGTAGCATTTCATGTCTTCCTTTGCTACAAAATGTAGATTCTAATGTCTAGCATCCCCATTGTGATCCTGCATGCCTCAGCTAGAGCCTTATAAATATCAGCATGTCTCTATACCTATTGGGGATGAAGTACTGTTATAATCACGAAAGTGACAGGGTTGGCAAACAACAGGGAATGGTTTTGTTGAACTAGACTTTCATACCAAACAGCAGGTGGAAGCACAGCTTGAAGTTTAGTTACTCCTCCATCTATGGGAACTAGGAACTGGACATTGTTTAGAGCTACTGCTGTAGTCATTGCCTCTGTATTATATTTGTAGTCAATGCGAAGATCAGTGCTTGTAGATTCACACCGCCAGCTCACTGCAAGGTTTAATGGAGTAGACTGAATACCCTGGGCAGATACCTTAGAAAATGACAGAAAAACAGTATTTAGTTTCCTCAGGGACAGAGGGAGAAATCGGCATCTATGGATATAAAATCGTTGTTGATTTTAGAGCAGAGAACTCCCCGCACTTCCCCAGTAAGTTTTTGTAAGGAACTCAAGTCACACCCAGTCCAGTGGTATTGAGAAGGCAACACCTCTGCAAAACTTCTTGTAATTCCTGGACTAAAGAGCAGACTATTTCAGGCAACTTGCCTTTCTGTACTAGAGACAGGTTCTATTAATGCTACAATGTTAATTACATTTTTGACAACATTTTACTTTGCAGAAGAGCTTACCTGGTATTTGAGCATATCCACGTTGTAATACGTTGCTTGTGGTTTCTGTTCAGACACTTTTTTTAGATGAGTCATCAGATTTGGCATGTTTACCCAGAATTCCTTTGTGTTGGCATCAGTTTGTGTACTGTCACTATGGGTTTATAAAAAGGTAAAGGATGAGCTATTTTCATAAACAGAATCTGTAAAAGGAAGTTCTTCTCAAAATGATCAGAGGACATAATCTTGGGCATGTTGTATAACAGGATTTAATTCTACACTTACAAAACAATGCCCTTCCGTTTTTTGAAATGCTTCATGAGAACTCTACCTTGGCCTCAACGGTAAACATCTCCACAGCTGTATTATGTATATATAACTTTGTAAGTTAATTTCTCGAGAATGAGGGCCTAATAAGCACTGGCTAGAGCTGGACATAGTGAGAGAAAACTCTTAAAATTTTCTACTTAGCTGTCAGACGGGTATGTCTTTGGGGTGGCTAGCCTGTCCTGCAACTTGCACTGCCAAGGCTACATTCTATTTTTAGCGCACTAGCTTGGATGAGAGTTAGTGGGAATATGTCTCCTCGAGCTGGGAATTGCACCCCCAGTTCAAAGTGGGCACATATCCAAAGTGAATTTAGTGCCTAAGAGAACTGTAGCATTGCCAGGGTAACATTTTCAAAAGTACTTAAGTGATTTAGGAAACTATGTTGCATTTTCAAAAGTGACTTAGGTGCTTAACGATGCAGAACGGCACCTAGGGGGATTTTCCGAAGCACCTAGGTTCGTAATCCCCCTTTGATTTCCATGGAAGTTAGGAATCTAGGTGCTTTTAATAATTGGCCCCTGAATTTACTTTAAAGTTTTGAACCCATAACCAGTGGTGAAAGCCTAATAAAGTATCACAATGCTTCTTCCATATGCAGCCTCCAACCAATAGCACTAAATTGGTTTAACATCAACAATATTGTGTAGAGGCTTTTCTAAATGAAGCACGGGGACGGGGATGGAGAGGGGTAGTTTGGTTGGTAGCCAGCCCCAGAATTAAGGAAGCAAAGAGGTGGCTGGGTCCTGCATAGAGCGCAGGTTGCCAAAATCTGAGGATCTGATCCATACTATCCAGGATACATTGACTATAAACTAAGTGTTGTCAAATGCACAAAGCAAATGAACAAGAAATGGAGGACTCATTGAATTTAGGCATTATTCGAACAACTAAAAAATTCAAGCTAAAATATTATTTTAAAATTGACTGTATCCTATTCAGCCTTATTCTCAATAATATTAAGAGAGGTGGTTTTATGAACAATTCTGCAGGTCAAAGTTTAAACCTCCATAGGATCACAGTATTTTATCCCCTTGAAATGTGTCTTCTAACACAGCTACAGAGTAACATTTCTTGTAAGTTTCTACAAAGTTTTTGTAAAATTATATTTACCAGCAGAGAAGTTGGGGATTTGGCAGGACGTGTTCTAACCTGTTGTAATTTATCACGCGGAAGGTTAGAACAGATGGGGCTGGATTATTGGCAAAATGTCTGGTAATTCCTGCAGGAAACGACAGCACCATTTCTCCAGTTATCTTCACTATACATCTTCAAAATCAAATAAAAGGAAACAAAGGGAGAGAAGAAAGAAAGCAGCTTAAAATATAGCCCGGGAAGTGAATAATCTGGATCAAGCTAGGCATGATGGAGATGGTGACATTTCATTCCTTCCCTATTATACTGGAAAGAAAATCATCATCTTCCTAAAACAGCATTAGTCTGAATAGAGAAAAATTCTGGTATTTGGGCAACCAATAGAAAATGTGATCTTTCTGTGAATGCCTCTGGACTTGCTTTTAGAAACAATCTGCTTTTCTCTTCATAACAGAAAAACAAAACCAACCATCTTAAATCGAACAGTTGCCAGCAGCCCAGTTTTGCCTGGGACAGCCCAAACTTTCTGCTCTCTGACCCAGGCAACTGGAACTGAGCTGTAATTTCATTGCAGGTCCTGATCCAGCCATATTTCCTGCTGTCTTGTGGCTGCAGAAGCAGCCCACTTTCAGTGCCTGTGCTGTATCTCAGTGTCTCTGCTTGTACAAGGGGTGGGGGGCAGCCATCAGCACCCTCACTAGCAGCAGCTCCAGCTCAGCCCATTCCCCCAGTGGATCGGCAAGGAAAAGGAATGAGTCCAATACAGATGCAGTGAATGTCCAAAATGCAGGGATAGTTATTTTGAGAGAGGAATACAGAAGACACTAGAAAGCGTTGTTTCTGGGAGTCAGATTGCAAAAATCAATGAAACTTACCAAAGGAAACTAACATGCCCCACCTTGTCTGAGTTTTACCCACTCCACTCAGTGCTTTCTGATGCCAGGTTTATACATACATGGTAAGCCCACAGTACTGCTGGAATTAGTGCTAAGGCTGACAATGTTTGTGCTGAGACCAGCATCTTTAATAATGAAGCAGGTGGTTTCAGGATTCCAGTATTCATGGAACAGTGATTCCATAAATAGGAGGTGGTGGATGAACTGCACTCTGGATACAATATATAGACTAACTGGGAAACCTCCACATTGATGTTTGCCATTTTTATTTCCTTGCTGACTGGTTGTTTATAGGCCTCGAACTAATTCAATGATCACACTATTAGTTCTTTGCTTGTTGCTGATCCATGTACATTAACACAAAGAAGCGGACCACACTGTGCTCGGTATCCATGTGTTGACAGCAACTTTCTTACAGGACCTATCACTTCAAAATATAGTCTCTGAATTTATATTCCTGTATCTTTTAGAGATCATATTATATCTCCAGCCTTCTTACACAGATAGCATGCAATAAAAAGTTTAGTGCCAATGAACTGGAGTATATCTTTCTTTGCTGAAAATACAGAATGTGGCTGTGCTGTAAATCTAAGTTTAAGAGAGAGTTATAGCAGGGAAAATATATAAATGGAACATGAATGTGACTTTTCTTGCTTCAAATTAAAGTATTGTCATCTGAAAACACTCAGATCTTACCAGTGCAAAGCAGTCATGAAGCTGGGGGTGGGGAGGAGGGGGCAGCAAGGGGAGTACATGGTTTCTGGCTATGGTCTATGTGGCACCCATAGGCTGTTCTAAGTTATGCCACAGGCTGTTTCAACCCCCATTTGGCCCAGAATCTTGCCACTCATTCTCAGCTGCCCTGACTCTGAACTCAGGGCTGAGAATCTAGCTCACTGAAGGAGATACATACATATATATTTAATGTTTGCAGGGAAATTGTTGAGGGCATTGCTCACTAACATGGATAGGACAACCCCGTCTCTCCAGTGAGTGGTAAAGAGCATATAAGGATATTCTGGCAAGGAGATGTCCTTTAGTACAGTACCATGTCTGCTGTATCAAAGGAAGGACTGATGGGTGAAATGGTATTCTAGTGGTATTAGTTTGTGTCTATCAACTACATGCTGAGGGAGGCAACAAGTCCACAGGACTGGAAATCAGAAAACCTGGGCAAGTCACTTCACCTCTTTGTGCCTCCACTTCCCCATCTGTAAAATGGGAATAATGATACCCAATACCTTCCTTTGCAAAGCTTCAGAATAATACTCCGCTCCTATACAGCACTCTTAATTCATAAATCTCAAACATACAAAAACTTCATTGAAAGCACTTAAAGCTGTTAAGGGCAAATAAGGTTCAAACTGAAACACAAAAATCAGAAAATACAGACCAAAGCTAAAAAAAACCCCTATATACATCACCTTTCTCTCAGACACCCACCCACCATCCTGAGAAAATCAACCATAATCACCAAGTATAAAGACAGGCTTTGAATCCATCCATTTCTTTGTAGTTCTCTATGGTTGCAGGAAGTATAGACAAAGTAAATCTTGGTTTCTGATTGCCTGCAGGGCTTTGAAGAACAAAAAATCGCTTTCATGGAAAGTTGAGTTGTTATGCTGGATTTATGCCATTGGAAATGAGAACAGAATTTGGCCCAGTGTACTGGTGTAGGAGGGATAATAGGTTAGTATAGCCACACTAGCTAGCATCAGGTCAGATTTTCAGAATGCAATATCCAGAAAGTAGGGAGGGAGAGAAGAATTGCAGATTACATGTATATTACTCCCCCAATAAACCCTACAGACTCAGTTTCTGGTCCCTCTCTGTAACGACATTTAAAATTAGTTCCTTGATGAAGACAAATAGATATTAATTAAAAGTATTTTTCAGGCCATAAAACAGATAAGCACAGAAGCAGAACTTTTCTCTAGTTACTTGTGGGCATGAGAAAACTGGTAATCTTCTTACCATCGGAAAATCAAACCTAGTAAGAGGATTTAACGATCTGTGCATCTCTAACCTATGAATAGCCCTTAAGAGAATATTATTTCACTCATATTTGTAAGATCTTTTATAACCAGTATTGCATATTTAATGTGCATAGTATATAAGTACATTAAATTATATTGATAAAACAATTAAATAATGAATTTAAAACTACTCAGTTATACCTGTTGTGTTAAACCCTGTTCCAGGTTGAATTTTTAAATTGCTCAATGTGGGTGAAAGGTGGCAGAAAGGTAATTTTTACTTGCAACCGTATTATTTAGAATTGTTATTAGACTATCACAAAACAGACAGAGAAGTGTTAAACTAAGCTTGTTAGAGCTAAAAGAATTGTTGGTCGGGGTTTTCAAGGCTTCTGGTGAGGCTACAAAATAGTCATAACAGACCAGAACCTTCTTAAAATGAGAGGAACCATCCATTCAGGGACCATCAGAAGCCTGTTTTGATTGGGTAGTTCAATGTGGTAGGGTAGCAATTCTGCCCTTTTTGCACGTTTATTTTTTGAGGAACATTTGGCAACGTACACACAAGGCCGGCTCCAGGCACCAGCATTCCAAGCAGGTGCTTGGGGCCACAATCTGCAAGGGGGGGCATTCCATGTGTTTTTGCCGCCATAGCAGTGCGCCGAATTGCCGCCGCGGACGGCGGGGGCAGTCCATGTGCCGTTAGGGCGGCACGCGTGTTTCTGCGGCGGCAGCAATTCGGCGGCAGCTTCTATGTTCAGCTGCCCGCAGGGGAAAATCAGTGGTTTCTGTCTTCCAGCTGAAGACAGAAGCCGCCGCTGAATTGCCGCCGCCTCACAAACGTGTGTGCCGCCCTAACGGCACACGGAGTGCCCCCGCCGTCCACGGCGGCAATTCGGCGTGCTGCTTGGGGCGGCAAAAACAGTAGAGCCTGCCCTGCGTACACACATGAACATGGCAGTGAGCTCTGAGAATGGCAGGGTGCTGGAACATTAGCACCATCACACTGCCCAGCATGACAGGACCTGAAGTACCAAAATTGGTAAGTCATTTCCTTGATCCGGAAAGATGTTCGGGCAGTATCAGATGAGATGAGGGAACCAAATTACGTCACTGTCTCTATGACCATATACATTTCTAGCTCATCCTTATTCCCCTGTCTTTTTCATCCTTCTGTCTAGCCATGCAACACTTTGCTGTGATGAGGGAGACTGGCTATAAACAATGCCTTACCAGCCTGATTCCAGCAGAAGCTTGGCTGGACACAGAGTGGCTAATAAGGTTGTGTGCCATGAGTTGTGCCTGCAGTTTCCCAGCAACTAAACTGCGAGCTTCAGCGACAGAAGTTAAGTTTTCCTATCTTTTGCTCTTCTTTTGTCTCTTTCACGTAGTGTTTGTTTTTGTTCTCCCCCACACCCTCCAGTGTTCATTTGTGCTGAAAAACCACACTTGAATCACAGAAGTTAACTATTCCACTGGGTAGGGGTACCTACTTGTTAGGATCCGCTCCTTTGAAGTATGCATTAACAGTTTCTGTGAATGCTGCCGCTACAGGGAGGGTATCCTGTGCCCCCATCGTCAAAGGACTGGGTCCCCTAGAAGAGCCTGCAACAGAGGAAAAACTTTCACTTGTTATGTGCGTATAAAACATTACAGTTACTCAAAGCCAATTGTATCAGGGGAGGGGGAATAAAGAACCATTTACTGAAAATAAAAAGTCAAGTCTGGCATTTTGCTTTTATTTGTGAGCAGTAAAAGTCCCCTTGGTGTTCAGAATGGGACTGAATATGTTTACAGATGGTCATTTACTCTCTATATAACCAAAATAATTTAAGTTCTTTACTACGAACAGCATGTGAAAGCAGAAAAACACAGGCAGGGACACACATCTGTAGGAACTTTGATGCTTTATGAATAAGGCAGTATTTGCATGACAGTTTGTGCAGTACACTTCTGTGTTCTACAAAAGAGAGTTGGGTGATTTTTTAAACCAAAAAACTCAGTCGCCCCACAATTTACAGTAAAGCATTTGGCACCGTTTTGTTTTGAAGGGATGAGGCCCAAGGCCGCCTTTTCACTTTTGTGCCTGATGGGAAGCACTAACCTATGCATCTATTTCAAGGCAGCACTGGCTCTGCAGTTCCCTTCCCTCTCCCCTCCACCCAAACCTAACTGCAACTGCTGTCTGCAACATTCTCTCCTCTATAGGTAGCAGATAAATGTTGCTCCAAGCAGCGTTCACACAGATTAAATACCTGCATGCCTTTCTGAGATGGAGGTTTGTACAGGCACTGTTTGCCTGCCCCGCTGCAGCCAGGCTCTCATAATAACATGGCCAACAGAGAAGGGGTAACCTAGAGCAACAATGCAGGGGTACAAGCTTCCATAACAATGGGGATTCCTTTCCTTTTGGGTCTTGGAGATCTGTGGGAATATTTCAAAGAAACTCTGGCCCTGATTCAGCAAAACCGTAAGCACATATTTAAGTCCTATTGAAGACATTAAATAGGAATATGCTTTAGTGCTTTGTTGAACTGGGGGCCTTTGACATTCACCTCAGGGAATTTCCAGCCCCTCCCCCACATAGGCACATCTGTAGGAGGATACAAGTTGGCCTGGGTGATTTGTGAACCTTTCAGCATGGCTAAGCCCACTTACAAGCAAGACTAGTGTAAATTATGGTTTCAGATGGAACCCACACGAAGTTCTGAATTCAACCTGGAATCAGACAGAACTTGGCAGTTCAGGTTGAGTTTTGGGTTTAAATTAAATTCAGAGTGAAACTCAGGGATGCAAACCCACAGCAATTAATTCAGGAGAGTCATATAATTAGAAGAAATGAGGATTTAAGTGACTAATGTACCAAGAGATTTGCTCCAATCATGCACCGCATGTTCTGTAATGGAGATTCTATGCAGCTGCCACCAGGCATACTCACATGAACACTAAAATAACTAACCCCTGGGTGTTTGCAGCCATTGATTTTTCCTTTCCTGGCAATGAGCTTGCTTCTAGGTAAGAAATCCTAAATTAGCACCAAAGGGGTAAAAGCTGAATAAAGTCATGTTAGGGGAAAAGAGTAGATGAATTCAGAATTTGCATATAAATCAAAGATGGGCATGTCGGAAATTTACACACTACTTTCCACACTGACAGCTAAAGAAGGTGCCTTGTTTACTGAAAACAACAATAGAAAGGAGTATTTCCAATAACAAGTGCCTTGGGCATCAAATATTGTTTGGCAAAGATCTAGTTTCTCTCTTAATGGAAATTCTAATAGATTAGAATGACATTAATTAGTAGTCATTTACTAATGGCATGACATACTAAAGCTTTGAGACAATAATAATGAATGCCTTATACCTTTCATTCCTTCTCTGGGAATCTGAATGCATGTTCAAACCTTCAATCCGTATTGTGATAGACTATGCAAATCAATAAATTAGGGATGAGAATGGGGTTAGTGGGGGGGGGGGCAGGGAATGTAGCATTGGCTTGATTTTCAAAAGGTACTGAGCCGTCACAGCTCCCATTAGTTTAATTAGAATTGGAGGTGCTCAGGACATCTCTTAAAAGCAAGCTTTGTATTTTTTTTTTTTTAAACTAAAACCAGCCCATTAAGTTCTCTATCCTGCCCTGGCTAAATCTCTCCCAGAAACAAAAAACAATATGGATTATTTCAAAGGTAAGGCTGTGTTTTAGAGATGGGATTTTAAAATATAGACATCAAACTATGCCTACCAAACCTCGGGGCTTTTATTTTGTAGTAGGAAGTTTGTGCACTGCTGGTATTAACATATTTTGCAAATGCAGTTCAGTTTATTTGAGCTTCCAAGGCCTTGATGCAATAAAGATTAGTGGGTTAGGTCATTCATTCACCTGCTGCAAGTGTAAATGCAGTGGCAAATCCCTGGATGTTTTCAATCCACCCATAATTTACTGAGCGAAGATACTGAGGTATAGGGATAAAGTGTCAAATGGGGGCAGCACTAGATTTAAGCATCCTAGTATGGAGCAGGATTCCAGTGCCTGTCTGCCATTGAAATGCCTGTATCATCCATGTGGGACAGTTATCCTTACTGATGCATTTTGACTTAGAGTTCTTGAAGAGAGAAAGGATCAAACCCATGCAGAAGCAGCAGTAGTAAGGGAAATACAGGTCAGAGAGCTGTAGCTTTTAGATCTCCTCCCCATGAAAAGGGCCCAGAGATCTACCTATCAGTGAGAACACAAAACAGGTACAGCAAGGGATCAGCTGGTGGATTCATTACCCACCACCCTGGCTTTTCTGAATCTTAGAAATGGATACACCTCCACAGATTTATTCCAGACTTTGAACTGAAAGGCATATTCATTGTTGAGAAACATCAGAATGTTGTGACTAAAAACCAACCAAACGAAAAAAGTGGGAGAACAAAGCTGCTTCAGAACTGGAGACTGTGGAGTGTTTGTAAGGCTCAATGCACTCGGCTATTCAATGGACTGAGTGAGGATATGGAATTTAGGAGAATGGACTATATGCTGTTCTCATCTGGAGCTTTCTTTCCCCTTGTAGGAACAATTTGAGAGTCTGAGTCTATCCTTCTTGAAGAAAAGGTGTGTGAAAAGTTTTCAAGGATCTATCAACTGCTTTTAAAATATCATTCATTGTCATATCAGGTCCAGACCCTCTATATAAGCAAACACATTTATACCTTCATTGTATCTTTTGATTGTCCTTGGATCTGGATGTGAGCAGGGGTTTCCATCATGACCACATTTCTCTCAAACATTTATGATTGAACCCATTTTTTAAAATATGGGTTTGATCATTATATATTTATATGACACCACTCCCCACAAATTTGGATCTTTATGCAAATCTGACAGTACAACCTGGATCAGAATAGTATAGTAACTGAGATTAGCATTAAAGGAATAATTAAGTAAACTTTGGATGAAACATCAAATATCTAAGTTTAGACAACATATATTCAATAAGAAAATATTAAGACATTTTAGACATTCCCCTCTTTCTCATACCCTGTACCTAAGGCATACCACTAGCTAAGTAACACGCACAAATGACCGTTGCTTATTTTGATTGCTGGAATTTTCCCTTTTAATTTCGAATGTAGCTTAAAAGTGTGTAAAAATTAAGATAGCCAGGCATCTCCTCTTCGACTGGACGTCTGAAGAGGCTCAAGAAAGTGGGTTATTTCAGCAAAGGTCTGAAATAAAAGATGTTCAATAAATTTGCACCAGATCAACTTGTTTCAGTCTATAGGACAAGCAGAATAGACATTTGGATAATTGGCCCACTTTTTGTTAATCACACATACATACACATGCACTGTGCAGAAGGACGCATCGAACACACATCTGAATAAGATTCTTTTAGGATGAGGGCAGAAAACAAGTGCATTCACCATTTAATGCAAAGGTGCTAGAAGCTCCTTAAATGAGTTTGCCCAAAATTCAGAGACCCACCATGTAAACCTGAGTCCACAATTAGGCCTAAGTAAAAATCCCCATTTTTTCCCTTCTGGACAAGCTAATTCATCCCTAAAAGCAAATATATTCACAAGTATTCAACAAAAGATTGGATTTCCGAAGCAGACATCATACTGAACTACAGAGCGGCTTTTTCCAATGCAGTGTGAAGACTGCATGATTGTGTGATAACGTGCTATCTACTAGAATAGCAACCGATGCAGAAAATGATTGCTGTGCAGATTAAACAAGCCCTCTTGCACTCTCACACAAACTTCACTTCTGCACCTTCATTCCAAATTCCATGCTGCCACATTCTACTGATGTGCTACTGAAGTCAACAGATGTACTGTATCTGTCCAGACATCCCTAATACCAGCCCAGCAGGTAACAGGCCTGATGAAATCCCTGCAGCTAGAGCCAGAGAAAAAAAAAGTCTGATCAACAGCAACTAGATCTTTAAAGCTTAAACCCTTCTTGATCATGAGGAAATATTTCCTAGTTTTCAGCATTCTGCAGACCCAAACGCTATTTTGAGCCTGTGACTGCAGAATTCATTTTAAAGGCAAATATTTTATTTCTGCTTAAGTAATTTTGTGGGAGGCATCTCCAGCTTCCCTACACTATCACACACACATCTCCAACTTGGCAACTCTGCACTGAGCAGCATTTTGGAACAGAAGGTTACAGGTGAATGTATGAGACCCCATCCTTATCATAGAGAGTAGCTAGCTCTGGAAAGCAGATGGGCTGACATCATAAGATCCCTTGTACCTGAAGGAAGGAATGTCTACTAACAGCATTTTCCTTTCATAGACAGTACAGGATTTGAAATAAAGAATGAACAATAAAAAGATCTTCTAAAATACCCAGATACCTAGGAAGAGAGAGAACTAGGCATTGCATCAATCCAAATCATCCTAGGCAAGTATCTGTTATGACATTTACAAAGGCAGCAGAGAGAGTTATTTGTGCTCATGTGAAACAATTAGAATAGGGATGAAACAGGTAGAATAATGGGATACTGAAGGGCTGCAATATGATGAAGAGTTTCGCTTACATTTGGCGGAAACCACATCCATGTATTATGATAAATACAGAACTAGGATAGCACTTAATTTCCAAAATCTTAG